TGACATGTGGGCCGGGGGGGGTCGGTAGAAGGGGCTTTTTTTTTTTTTTTTTTTTTTTCTTTTTTTGGAGAGTTTTTTTTCGCTATAGGGCGCGAGCGTTTGCCAGACAGAGAGAGAGAGAGACATAGAGACAGAAAGTGAGAAATCACCCTCCAGGGGGGATGGTCACGCCGCAATCCCTTCTCCTCCACTCTCCTCTCAGGATCTTGGGCACACACGCACACGTGCCTGGCATGAGTTTTAAGCCACCGGGTCCAGGACGCCATCCAAGGTCGACTACGTGGGAGTCCAGCGACATAGCCATTACGCTAACTGCTGGTTCCCTGTAGAAGAGGCCTTTTGATGGGGAACTGGTTGCCTGAGAATAGGACCATAGCTGCCATGAAAGCAGCCTGCTGGAGTTGTCAAGAATGCATCTGCTGGAGTACGGAAGAGTGTGGCTGAGAGTGTAGCTGGTGATGGTCTACTGGGATTAGCTATCCATCCTCTGGTTCTAAAGCTGAATAGAGACTGAAGCAAGCAAGGAAGTACCTGAGGCTAAAACATCATAGCGCCCTCTGTTAACAAAGCCTTATATTACAGTAGCTGGCAAAGGAGAAATGTTAACACCTATGAGGGGAGGCTTGTGATCCATGGGGACAAGTGTTCTCTAAGGTAGAGAGGAACTCTATCTCCAAGAGATTTGGGGACTGGGACTGATGTGGTGTAAATTGATTATTGCTAAACATGTGAGTGACTTGTTCTTCCAAGGGGCATGAGAATAGGATTTGCATATGAGCATTTGATGTGTTTACTGTTTTAAGGCTTTGTTTAGATGCTTATACACATTGCCTCTACTCATGAATATCCTAAAAGATGAGTATTGCTAGCCACATTTTACACACAAGAAACTGAGTCTAAAGGGATTATATAACTTGTTCAAGATTACCAGCAAATGAGTAATGGGGCCAAAATTTTAATCGCAAACATGGCCAGGTGGTGTCACAGTAGTAATCACAAAGTCACATGGGAAAGGTTCTGGGTTTGTGTCTGAGACTTCCTTGAACATGCTAGATCTGGCATGTGCCTGTGTGTGTCTGAGAAAGAGCTTACAATGTATTGAGATACACACTAGTGGATGAAAGTTAAGACATGTTTACTAAGTCTGGTGGTTAAGGCAGCTAGATCCCACATGGCCAACCAGGTGGTTCAAGTCTTGGACTTGGCAGCTACACAAACATGCTGGGCACATGTATGTGAATGCTCAAAATCCTGAAAGGGAGGAGAAGTGGAAGAGAAAGGATTGCAATGTGATCATTCCCCCATAGGGAGTGCTCTGTTGCTTACCCCTTTTCTTTTCTTTTCTTTTCTTTTCTTTTCTTTTCTTTTCTTTTCTTTTTTCTTTTCTTTTTTTCTTTTCTTTTCTTTTCTTTCTTTTCTTTCTCTTCTCTTTTCTTTCTTTTTTCTCTCTTTCTACTGAGCATGCATGTTCTCAGGCAAAACAAAAACAAAAACAAACAAAAAGAACAAAAAGCTGTTTAAGAAAAAATTCTAGCCCATGTGCCACCAAAGCTGGAACACCTTCCAGGCTACCATACTTCAGATGACACTTACACAAATGTGATTCTCTTTTAGGCCCCACCATGTGGATGCTTCTAGGACAGAACCAAAGTTGGGTTTCAGAGTTCATTCTGCTTGGCTTCTGTAGAGACCCCACATCCAACAGGATTCTTTTTGTTGCCTTCCTTATCCTCTACCTCAGTTCGGTACTGGGCAACGGGCTTATTGTCACTCTGATCTGTCTGGACACACATCTCCACACACCTATGTACTTCTTCCTGTGTATCCTCTCCCTGCTGGATATGGGCTATGTCACCACCACAATGCCCCAGATGTTGGCACATCTTCTCACTCACACTCAGACCATCACCTTTGCTGGATGTTGGCTGCAAATGTATGTGTTTGGTGCCCTGGGCCTGACTGAGGGCATCTTCTTTGTAGTCATGGCTTATGACCGATATGTAGCCATTTGCTACCCACTGCATTATACTGTCATTCTCAGTTCAGGCCTGTGCACAAGATTGGCAGCTGGAACCTGGACCTGTGGTTTCTTCTTCTCTCTGATCCATACTTATCTCACCATGAGACTGCCATATTGTGGGCCCAATGTGATCAACCACTACTTCTGTGAAGGCCCCTCAGTGCGGAGCTTGGCTTGCATGGACACGCATCTCATTGAAATGGTGGATCTGGTCATTAGCTTCTTTGTGGTTGCTGCCCCACTCTCCCTCATTCTGGCCTCCTACATTCGTATTGCTCTGGCCATTCTCAAGATCAAGTCTACTGGGGGCCGCTGCAAGGCTTTTTCCACCTGTGCATCCCACTTGACTGTGGTCACATTCTTTTATGCGCCAGCTACTTACATCTACATGAGGCCCAACTCCAGCAACTCTCCTGAGCTGAACAAGCAGATCTCACTCTTTTACAATGTCTTCACTGCCCTGCTAAACCCTGTGGTCTATAGCCTGAGAAACAAGGACATTAAGGGGGCTTTTCTCAAGGTGATGGGGCAGTGTTGGGGGGCTTAGTGAACTGGGAGCCAGGAGAGGCCTGGACTAGAAGGTTCAATGGGGAGGAAGGTGACAACATCTGTGATATATGTAACCAACCTTATGCATTTGAACCAACATAGTACTGAGCCAGTGGAATAAATTTACATAAAACCAACATGGCTGTCTTGATCAACTTATTACATATTGTGGTGCAGTAGCAAACAACTCCATAGTGTTCATGGCTTACAACAGTCAAAGTTCATTTATTGTTCATGTGCCATGTTAGTTGTAGGTTGGCGGTGGCAGTCTGTAGTCTCAGATCCAACCTGAAGGGGGAACTCTTATCTGGAACACAATTCCTTTGACAGAGGGAAAGGAACAGTAACCAAAACACATGATGACTCTTTTTTTCTTATTTTCTTTCTTTTTGGGGGGAGAGGTTTTTGCTATAGGACGTGTGTGCTCGCCAGAAAGACAGAGAGAGACAGAGAGACAGAAAATAAGAATCACACCCCTCCCCTGGGGGGGGGGACCATACCGCTATCCCTTCTCCTCTATTTTCCTCTCAGGATCTTGGGCACACACGCACGTGTGCCTGGCGTGAGTTTAACCCACTGGGTCAGGGACTCGAACCATGGTTGACTATGTGGGAGTCCAGTGACATAGCCATTGTGCCAACCACTGGTCCTGGACACATGATGACTCTTAAAGCTTCTCACATCTCATTGGCCTAAGCAAGTCATCTGGTCAAACCTGATGGCAAAGAAGCAGGAAGTACTTTCTTCCCATAGAGAAGTAATACAAGTCACATGTCAATGGGTAGGCATGTATAATTCCTCTACAAGGAGGGCATAAAATAATCATCTATCATAGTATCACAGAAACTAATAGAATACATATAACTATTACGCAATATGGCAACTGCAAGTGACATGATACATGGGAATAGCAGAGGGCTAAGGTGACATAAGCAAAGTAGTGCATGTCGACAATAGCCATAGCCAACATTCAGAGTCCAGCCAATAGTATGTGGAATCAATACAACCCACAGATCTGTCTTGTTGCATGCAATCAATATGGTTCGTGGAATTAACATAGTATATCTATCTATATCTAGATATAGGTATAGATATAGATATCTTACACTGTGTGTGGAAGAACACAGGGCTTGATGTTAAGTGGCCTGGGTTCTAGTTTCTACCTTGCTAACTTGCTCTTGTATGACTAGGTAGTTGCATCCTCTTTCTGAATCTCATTTTATTGACTAATAAAGTGAATGCCTTAAATTTAATGGTTTCCAAAGGCTCTTGTGACTCTAAAATTCTTTGCCATAGTAGATGAAATATGTATGGTGTATGAAACTCAAATGTAACTAATTTGTTGTTTTTTTTTAAAAAATATTTATTTTCATAATCTTGTTTATATTACATTGAATCACAAATATCTTTACAGTGTATTACATTTCTTTTTCCAGAAGGAACACCATGCATATCAGTCAAGACAAAGACATTACTACCCACATCATCATCAAATAGCTTTTTCATTATTTTTTTCCAGATTGTTATTTTTTTATTCTCATTATTCTTTTAAACATTCAATCACTAGAAATAATTTTGCTTGTAAAAAGAATTTATCCAATATGAAATACTTCTCAGACCAGTACAGTTTAAAACACTATATATGTTATCATCAACAGGTAATAAACCATTTCTGTGTCCCACTAATGTCATGCCTCTCTGTTTATTCTCTTGCTATCCGATCTTCTCTATATTGTTCTCTTTTCTTATTGCATTATCTAAGACTTCCAACACTATATTAAAAAGCACTGGAGAAAGGTGGCAGCCTTGTCTAGTACTAGTTTTCAGCTAAAAGCTTTTCCCCATTCAGTATAACGTTAGCTATAGGTTTTTCATATATGACTTTTATTGTGTTGAAAAATGACCATTCTATACCAATCTTACTGAGAGTCTTAATCATGAAAAGATGTTGTATTTTATCAAATGCTTTCTCTGCATCAATTGAAATGATCATATGGTTTTTATCTTTCTTTCTGCTAATACAGTGTATTATATTTATGGTCTTGCATATGTTGAACCACACTTTCATGTCTGGAATAAAGCCTACCCAGTCATGATGAATAATCTTTGTTATATGTTGTTGGATACAATTTGCAAGTATTTTGTTGAAAATTTTTGCATCTATATTCATCAGCGATATTGGTCTGTAGTTTTCCTTTTTTTGTCATGTCCTTATCTGTTTTGGGAATGTGGCTGATGGAGGCTTCATAGAATGAATTTGAAAGGTTTCCTTCCTTTCGAATCTTTAGATATAATTTCAGTAAGATAGGGGCTAACTCTTCATTAAAGGTTTTGTAGAAAATAGACTTGAAGCCATCTGGACCTGGGCTTTTCTTTGTTGGGAGGTTATTTATTACTGATTCAATATCATGG